CTTCTCATACATTACAAACAACCCAACAAAAATACTAGAACTGACAAATCCAGAAAAATGCCACACGCAACATGACTGAACACAAACTATAATAAATCTTATTAATCAGTACACACAAAATGCAACGAAATAAAAGCCTCATTATTTCACAACTCAACAATATTGTACAAGGTTTGTATGTCCACACATACACACATGTACAAAGTAGGTATGTCCACATTGTACCTGACACACTATGAATGACACACAACACGAGAAACGCATCACTCATACACTGAGAGACAGAGGAAGCACGCAAGTTAATCTGAGTATTTATCGAGTCACACATCTACAGAACCACAAAAACTCAACCCTGGAAATGTTGCTTACCATACCATGTGGAGAATAAAAAGCTATATATGTAAAATAACAATCAACACATTCAAATCTCTCTCTCTACATATAAAGAGAACATTTTAAAATCTTATATACTATAGAATCTTCTGGAGATAAAACCACATGACATTCAAGTTTCACTTCTGCAATGAAACGTAGCTAAAATCTGTAAAACATGTATGCAGTATCAACAATATTGGATTCTACCCATTTTGAAATATTATAGAGTCAGAAAAATTAAAGTTTTGACTGCTAAATGAATCACAAATAAAAAGCTGTATTTTAATCCAAAAACCCTACTACAATATTCTAATGGAACATTTAAACTATAATGAGAGAACAGGGGAGAGAGACAGGGGAAAGAGACAGGGGAGAGAGAGAGAGACCGAGAAAGAAACAAAGGAGACAAAGAAACAGACTTCGCAATGACATAAGGTCAACCAAGAGATGAGAATATCATGTCTCTCTCTCCAGCCCCAAGTGACCAACCTGTCCCTGTGGTTTTATGCACCCCGCATAATTTAGCAAAATTTGATCTTTTTTTGCATAATTTCTGATACTTTCACTTTATCATTCTTTGATAAAATTAACAGAATCACATAATTTCACATTTTCGGGCTCAGTTTGCATAATTTCAGAATTTTTCTTGCATAAAACAAGGGGGACAGACCAACCAAGCGACCAACAAAGTGACCACTCAAACTCAAACCCAGCCACTACCACCAGTCAATAAATGTTCAGTACAGCATATAAAAAAAGTGTATATTATAATGTTCTGGACAGGAACTGACTTCTTCCCAACAATATCATTCATAACATTGAGCACATCAAACAAAAAAACAAAACAAAAAATATATATAATAGGTAAACCGGTATATACCAAACGTCATAACATTCTGAGCCGACCTTTAGAATCCACGAGACCCAGCTCCTGGCATGTCCACTTGGAGCTGACCTCCGTGGCAAATGACACACTGCGTTTGTCTGTTTGTTTGTTTGTTTGAGTAAAGAGAAGCACATAGACACAATAATGGTCAGTTAGTGCTGGGAAAATGTCAGAGAAGACAAAAACAACAGGGGGAAAGTAAAGAAATAGGACCTACCAGTGGCGCCCTCCAACCACTCATGAAGCAAGACAGACAGAAACAACAGGGGGAAAGTAAAGAAATAGGGCCTACCAGTGGCGCCCTCCAACCACTCGCTGACACACTATGAGACAGACTGGCCCACAATGACAACATAATTATGGGAGCGACCAATCACAGCTCAAGCGGTATAGAGTGACGACCGGTCAATACAGCGAATACATGGAAGTGACCGGTAAAAACTCACATTGCGACAGCGATCGACCCAGTGAGAGGGTTTAGTTTTTAGTTTTAGAAAAAGTTTTGCGGCACTTTCAACACAAATAGGTCATGTAAGTGCTGAAGATTAGATGTGTTCCTAAAGAACAATGGCGTACAATGAAGGAGAAAAAGGAGAGATAAGGACAATAGATGCATGATAGGAAAGTACGAGCAAATCACACCAGAGCAACTGTCAACCATCTATAATTAGAGGGTAACTCTTCCCAAATAAGAAACTATCGAAGTGAGAAGTCAAAACTAAATCTGTGTGAGTGACCGGTCTCAAGAGACATTATGTGAGAGAGAGTGACCACTCTCGACTGACATAATATGACAGTGACCAATCTCAACTGATATCATATGAGAGGGAGTGACAGGTCTCAACTGGCATCAAGTGTTAGAGAGAGTGACCGATCCCAACTAAAGGACTAGTGTGTGAAGAAAGGCATGCTGCCTTGTGGGTTTCTAGTCGGCACTGACATCACTGTGTGACAGGATGTGGCATCAACTGGCCGGTCGGCTGATCCTGGCACTGACTGATCTACATGCGGAAGACTCCAAACTTTGTGCTGGTCGGTGGGCGGTTGAGGGCTGCGCTGAGGGAGAGGCCCAGCACCGTGCGAGTGTCGCGGGGGTCAATCACGCCATCGTCCCATAGTCTGAGGGGATAGAGTGAGAGGGTGAGTGTGTGTGTGTGTGTGTGTGTGTGTGAGACAGAGACAGAGAGAGAGTGAATGGGGGAGGGGAGTGCTTGTG